AATTACATCGAGCCTTTAACCGGTCGAAACCAAAATCGTTTACAACAACAACAACAACAACAACAGACCATTGGAGGATCTCCAATTGTCAAAAGATCCAACAGTTAACATTTAATCTTCTTGTGGGTCCGTCAACCATTCCATCCCGACCTTACACGATTATTTTTTAAAAGAAAATATATATATATACTACCGGACCTCTCGAGCGAAAACTGGCCCAGTCCTTAATCGCAACCAATAGTTCTCAAAACATATTTTGGTAAATCTGAACTAACCAAGGTAGACATGGCCACAGGTCACTCAGCCATCAACCAGATCTGGAATCGACACGAACTCAGCCCAATTAGACCCTTGGTCAATGGGTCTGGGCCCGTGTTTGGATTCAAAACGGACCGGTTCAGATTCGAGTATTTGTAACATTTCACTCGACTGACCAGGTCAACTCAAATAATCAAAGGTACGAATTTTTTTTCCCAATATTTTTTAGGAGGGGTCTCAAATTTATATATATAATTACTAGCTGATGCATTTAATAAAACATATTTTCATTTCCCTCCAAAAGGAATTACATTTTTTTAATTAGTTACTCACTAATCTGCTAAAACCGTGACACCTTAATATATATTTTTTTTATTATTTATTTCGGCTAATGTTGGAACTTAGAGTTGATTGACACATTCAGAGCTGTAACCGCTGTATTTGGTTGCATTGTTGGAAGAAAAATATGATTTACACATAACTTTTTTTTTTTTTTCTAAAAATCAGAAACACTAATATTTTTTTTTATTTATGTTAATTTTCTTAATATATGCCATAAATATATAAATTATTTTATTCATGTTACCAATGCAAACGTTGCATGATTAAAATAAAATTTAAATCTCAATTAATTGTGAATGATAAAAATTAACTTAAGAAAAAATAATAATTTTTATATGATAGAAGTACATGTCTAATTAAAAATACAAACAAAAACGTGTTTTATATCTGTGTAAATGGACAGATTTATATATTTAGGTCAAGCCCGATTGTGTATCGGCCCATACCTATGTACATATGGTCAGCCATTTCAAACTCGAAGATCCGCCGGGCCAAGGAATCACGGGCCGAACCCGTGGCCATGTCTCGCACCAGCCATACCCCTCCGTTTAAAGCATTGGAAGGCGACACGTAAATGGGACAATAATTGAAGATAAGGAAAATGATTTGTCAACTTGGTAACTGCCATCAATGGAACTTTAACGCGTGTGGTGTGTGGACACCGATCTTTCGTTATCCAAAAGGTTAGTATTGTAATTTCAGTACATAAACATGAAACCCTAATTGGCACCTTTGTTGCAGCCTATATAAAAGGATATATGTTGGGTTGATCAATTGCTCTACTTCCATATTCCATATGTGAGACAAAAGAAAGAAAAACAAAACCATCAAATTTTGTGGGTTAAAGAAGAGATTGAGAAAGGGCCTTTGGAAAACTATGGTTTAGTGATCTCATCTTAATCATGATCAAGGGGTAAGGTTTTTTTTTT